GGGCATTTGACTGGCACACCAGAATGTCATATATATGCATATATTGAGGTTTAGGTAATGCTTATCGCAGGCTGGTTGATCTACTACATTCTACCGCTCAACATAAACGTTGGATGTCTCTCTGGACTCAATTCTGTGAGAGAAAGAGGCTTCAAATTTGCAAGCACATGAAGCCGGCCATATTGTTGTTCTTGATAGGTAGCAACGCATGCATCAACAGAAACAGTAAGTCATCCGGGAAGTGACTATTTTCACTCCAAGAGGTTGAATTTGCATGTTGTAATAATATTCGGAGAATCCGTTCAGTTGGTTTGGTTTTCTAGGAGAATTTACTTATTTCTACATACATACCTTAACTTCAACATTCAGGTTATGCTGATACTCTGTTCGTTTTTTCTTCCCTTTTATTTAATGAGCAAACTATTTTGTTTACTTAGCAGTTCAGCCGATGGTGCAGTGCCCATTATCTGAAAACACGATGAATGGATAATTTCAAGTGCTTCTGAGCTCTGTGCGTTCTTTGCATGCCGAAGCAGGGTTCGGACGTGAGCTTCGTACATCTTTCGCAATGGAAATCCACACCCCACCAGTGGTTTCCAGCTGTGAACTCCTGGGTGTCACCGATATCACAGCTGCCGTCAACTGCTCCCTTAGATTTCCCTCGGTGTCTATTAGGTATTCCGCAGAGGCAAGTGCTGTCGCCAAATGTGCCAAATGCGTTTTTCCACTCCTCATACACCAATCTTCAAATAATATTGTTTTTCTTTCGTTTTAGCACGTGAACGCATCATCATCCCATGCTAGTGCTCTACCCTCCCCTACATCGAATGACGGGTTCTACCTGCTTGACGTTCATTCAGATATCCTTGCTACACTTAGAAAGTGGTACTGGGAGATCCCAAGCATTTACTTGGATGATCTACGCTTTCCAGACTTGATTTTGAGGATTCTCCGAGGACTGCAACTGCGTGAATATGAAGCCATGCCTGCGTGGAAAACATGGGCAATTCTGGAGAGTGACAACTTCACAAGAAAGGCTTTTGTCAACTTGCCTCGTGTAGCATGTATTTTGTACAACTCGGTTTTCAAGCCGATGGCGGTTCTTATGTGATACAAAAGATCAAATAAAATCATTGTGTCTGTGTACGATTTAGAATTTCTGATTTTGACAGCCTTTGAACATAAAGGATGCTGAGCAGATGTGCGTAAAAGGGAGTTTGTGTGTGGTATCTTCTCTATTCAGTCGGATCATCAAAATACAGTCAAAATACGGTAAAATA